GAGCGCCGCGATGCAGGTCTGCGAGATCTACACGCGGCGCCCCGAGTGGGATCGTGGCAGCCGCCGCCTCTCCGGCTCTCTCGACCACTGGAACACGCGCTCGTGGACCGGCTGCGTCGACCCTTCGAAGGTCAACGTGCCGCAGGCGTGGGCGGAGGGGATGGGGCGCGCGCGCGGTCGCTTCTGTGCGACTGGCCTCATCCCCACCGCCCAGGTCGACTTTGCCGCCATCGCGCGCGAGGTAGTCGGGGAGGGGGCGGGGGGGCACCCCACTGTGCTGATGCCGCGCGGGGTGCGCGTCGGCGCGCAGCTCCCCTCGACGTAGTAGTGTGGGGCGTGTGGTGCCTAAATTTCATGGTCACCACAAACACACACACACACACAAAGAGGCGGTTTCAATTCTTTTTCTTTGGGTTGGAAAATTCTTTGGGTTGGAGGGGCGGAGCAAAACGCGGAGCGCAGCTGGCGAGCGTAGCATGACAGAGCCGGAGGAGGATGCCACCCTCGAGCTCGAGGAGCAGCTGCCGCAGGAGGTGGCGCTCGCCGATGCCGAGGCGAACACAAAGGTCGACTCGATGCTGTACGACGTGCCTGACACGAATGGCACGGCGGTTCCCAAGGCGGCATTCTTGCGCGAGGTGTTCTCTGGCGCCTACGGAGCCAACCAACGCTTGTCGGCGGATCGGCTCAAACGCGTTGCAGGGATTGCTGCGCGCAAGCGGCCAGCCGAGGCGGAGGCGGCTGGCGGCGCGTTCCTCCACGAGAGCGTGCACCCCGACGACTCGGTCGCGGCGCTCGTCCCAATCTGGCACGCTCAAGGTGACCGTCGCTGTGGTGGAAGTGCATCGGCTGGACAAGGGCAACGGCGACAAGCGCGTCCCAGCCCTCGATGCAGCGGACCTCGCGGACGAGAAGGCGCTCGTCGTGGGGCGGGTGCTGCCGCTGGTCGTCAGCGAGGATGGTGCTTCCTGCACCTTCTACGAGGGAGGGTGGGGGGAGCAGGTCAGCGCGATTGCGCCCATGATCGTGCCGCTCGACTACGAGTGCGCAAAGGATGGCGACAAGCACACGCTGGTCTTCTCCTCGGACGACCTCAAGCACGCGCTGGACACGCTGGTGGACGCCAACAGCGAGCGGATGTCCAAGGTGCCCAAGACGTCGGTGTCGATGACATGCGTACCCTACGTCCACAACGGCTCGCCTCTCTTCGACTCGCCTTCTGGGGGCGAGCTGATCAATGAGACCACGGCAGCCAAGGAGGTTGCGTGCAGCATATGCAAGCAAGTGTGGCCGTCGCTTGAGATGCGGCAGCATATGGGCTTCCACATCCTGCACGAGCCCGCACGGCTCACGTCCGCCAACCCGTGCGGCTTCTGCGGCGGCGATGCCAGCCTCTGCCGCAGCTGGCTGGACACGACCGCCAAAACCACCAACCCCCGCACCAAGTGCGTGCTGCTAAAGGGCGTCGCGGGGCAGGAGCCGCTCAAGTACTCGCACGGTCACGCCAAGAAGATGTCCGCCCCCGCGCCCTGCACCAACCACTTGGTTGAGTGCGAGTTGTGCGAGCCCGAGCAGGGAGGGAAGCGGCCAGTGTTTTGGAGCTACAACTTGCGCGCCCACCATGCGGCGGCGCACCCCTCTCACCCGGTGCCCGCCGCTGCTCTGGTGGGGGATCTGGAGCGAGAGCTGGTGCGACAGGTTGGTGGGCTGCGCACTAAGGTCACCGCAGAGCAGAAGAGGAAGCTGTCGGCTGCCAATGCGCCTGCGCCTGCGGCGGCTGCGCCTGCTCCCGCCGCTACGGCGACCCCAGCGCCAGCCCCTGCGGCGGGCCCAGAGTAAGCCCGATTTCTTTTTTTGCTGTGAAAATTCCGGCGTGAAGACAGGGAAAAACCCGACGGAAGGGCCCAGACCTACCCTACCTACCCCGTCATGAGGGCCGCCCAAGCAAAAATAATATACACCTGGAGAAAGAAGAAAAAGAACTGCCTGCGCGCGCGACTTTCACCACCACGTGCAGCCCAACCCACAGTACAGGACCCACGGCACTTTTGCCGCCATGGTCAGCTTCACCGGCTGGGTGGCCCTCGCCACGTTTGTGGCGCAGAACACCGCCGCCGCGCTGCTGATGCGCTACGCGAAGACGCGCATGGAGCCGTACAACTCTGCAGTCGCCGTCCTGCTTCAGGAGGTCGCGCTCAAGCTGCCCATCTCGGTCGTGCTCTTCGCCGTCGAGTGCGGCGGCTTCGGCCAGATGGTGCAGAAGATCCGCCGCGACTTCAGCGAGCGGCCGCTGGAGTGGGCCCAGCTCTCCGTGCCCGCTCTCCTCTACCTCGTCACAAACATCTCCGTCTATGTCGGCTATGACAACTTGGAGGTGCCCTCGAGAGGCGCCGCCGGCGCTCGCGCGCGGCCCCGACGCGCCGAGCGCGCGCCTCGCATGCCCACAGGCCGCGCTCGGGATGGTTATGTACCAGAGCAAGATTGTCTTCACCGCCATCTTCTCGGTCACGCTGCTCAACAAGAAGATCTCAGTCAACCAGTGGTGCGGCGGCGGCGCGCCCGCTCGCGCGCTCTCGCCGGGCCGGCGCGTGAGGAACGCCGCTCTGCCCACAGGTGCGCCGTTTTCGTCCTCGTCCTCGGCGTCATCGCGGCGCAGGGCCTCCTCTTCCCGCAGCCCGCGCCAGAGGCGCACGCCCACCACGGGCACGGGCACGGCAAGCACGGCGGCGGCAGGAGCCTGGCGGCGGCGGCGGAGAAGAACCGGGTGGTGGGGATGGGCGCCTTCCTCCTCGCGGCCGTGTGCACCTCCTTCGCCTCCGTCTACTTTGAGAAGATGATCAAGTCGGACTCGAAGCCGTCGCTGTGGCTCCGCAACCTGCAGCTCGCAATGTACTCGGGTGAGGGGGGCAGGGGTAGGGCTGGTCGCTGCGCCTCTACCAACCTGCGGCCGGCCCGCGGCCCGCGCCCTCCCCTCCCTCCCGCCTCACCGGCCGGGTGGCCGAGCAGGCGTCATCGCCGTCGCCGGCCTCCTGATCAACGACTACGACGAGATTGCGAGGCAGGGCCCGCTGCACGGCTTCGGCTTCTGGACCTGGTGCGCGGTCCTCAACAACGCGCTGGGCAGGCTGCTCGTCGCTGTCATCATCAAGTGCGCTAGCACACGCCCCGAGCCCCGCTGGGCCCCGCTGGCCCCGCTGGCCCCCGCCCGGCGCGCCCACCCCGTGCATGCTTCGCCTGCTTCAGGTACGCCGACAACATCCTCCGCTCCTTCGCGCAGGGCCTCGCCATCGTCTCGGGCGCCGTGGGCTCGTACCTGCTCTTCGACTTTCAGATCACGGCGCAGTTCATGCTCGGCGTCGTGCTCGTCATCGGCGCCGTCTTTCTGTACGGAGCCCAGGCCAGCACACCCACCGAGCTGTGCGAGCAGCTGGCGCTCAGCTGCCTCGCGAGCGTCGCCCCCTCGCGAGGCGACAGCGCCCTCAGCGACGCCAGCGCGGACGCGCCGCTAAAGCCGGCTGCGTATGCGTCGGTGCAGCCAACGGAACCGCACACGGCAGACGAGGTGGAGGAGCCCTGACTGACCTCGCCAGGAGCTCGCCCGCCGGCGGTGGCCGCAACGGCAGCAACGCACCACGACCCCTGCAGTGCGGGCCACGCGACCCCCGCGCTGCATCCCCGCGCATGCCGCTGCGCCGATCAGCACGAGGTTTGTGTGCATGTGGTTGCAGGAGCTCGCCGCCGCGCGCCCCCCTACTGCTGCCTTGTGGACTCTACCTGTGTGTAATGGGGGGAGTTGATTGTGCTGACAAACAATGACGTGTGAGTGGTACACTTGTTTGGTATGCAAATCGATCTAAAAATATCTCTCATTGTGCTGCCCCTTTGAATGATATCCCGCTAGAAAACCCAACCCCAGCAGCAGGGCCAGGGGTAGGAATCCTGGGACCTAGCAGCCGAAACGCGAAAACCGACGGAGGCGGCGGGCCCGAGACTCTCTTTGCAAAAGAAACGGTACCGCGGCGCCGACTCTTTGATCGCGGTCTGCCGGAGTCACAGCAATGACGCTCAAGGCGGGCGAGGTCCGAGCGTACCTGCTCGCCAACGGCGTCACGAAAGCTCAGTACGACAAGGCGGAGGGGAGGGGCCTCTCGGGCTTGCAAGAGCTGGCGGAATCGGTGAACTGCACGCTCAAGGACGAGGAGACGGTGCGCATGGCTGTCGCGGCGGCCAGCGCAGAGAAGAAGGCGACGACTTCGGAAGCGGCCCTCACGCCGCTCACGGCGGAAGAGCGGAAACGCTTCGCAGCCGCGTTCGAGCACTTCGACAAGGACAAATCTGGGGAGCTTGACGTCAAGGAGTTTCGAAGCGCGATGCTCGACAGCGGGATGTGTCCTTACCCGTACGAGCAGGAGGAGCTTTTCAAGACGGCGGACATGGACGGCTCGGGCACCATCACCTTTGAGGAGTACTGCCACTTCATCCAAGTCTACCGCGCAAAGCAGAGCTGGTGGGAGCGCATGATGGAGTCGATGACGGACAAATTCATGCCCAAGCCCTCGTACCTCACCAAGACAGCGGCCAGCGCCGCGGAGCTGCATTAAGCACCGGCGACATGCACCCGCTGCAGCGGCGGTCGCAAGCGCGGTCCCGTGCCGTCTTTGGCGCGCGGTCCGTTGTGCGGCCACGCGGTGGGAGCTCATCGCTCTGCGAGCTCGACCCGGCACGAGAACCCGCGGTCTGAAGCCCTCTCTCCGTTGATAGTGTCTGTCTCCATCTCCGCGTCCGAGAGCTCCACGCGCGCTCTCTCTTATTTCTCTCTCTCGTCTCTGTCTGTGTATTCGTAACACTTAACTTTTGTCGTGCGGACGAGTCGTGGCGAGACTCTCGCGCTGCACGCGCTGGGACGTGCGCACGTGGGACCTGGGTCTGCCCGCCTCGGCGCCTGTCCGCTCCGCTGGCGTTGAGCCATCGCGGCGGCCAACGAACGCACAAGTTTAAAGTATTTCGCCCTTTCCGCAAGTGCCAAGACCCTGTGACGTACGCGCGGATACTCTCTATACACGCGGTGACCGCGTTCTACTCTCGCTCTCGTCTCGCGTGCGCCAGGGGAAGAGACTCACACACCACTCACCACACACCAGTGTCTCTGCTAGCTCAACTTCTAGCTCTCAGGACGCGGGACCTGGCGCCTCGCCGTCCCCGTCGGCGCCTTCACTAACGGCGCTATCCGCATCGACGTCGATCTCTACCCGGCGGCCACGCTCATCGTAGTTGGGGTCGTCCCGCTTCGACCGCGCGTCCAGCACGGCCTGCACGTAGCCGACGCCCAAGCCGAGGGCGGTGCCGACGAGGAGCAAGGTGAGCTCGTCCTGCTGGAAGATCGGGTGCAAGAGGCCCTCGAACTCGCGCGGCGAGAGGCGGCGCAGGTTGGTCTTGAGCGTGTCCTGCTGGGCGCGACGGAATCAGCGCTGCGCCGGAGCCCACGGGGTGCCATGCGGGAGGGGCGCGGTGCGAGGGAGTCGGCGGCGGAGGGAGTCGGCGGCGGAGGTGCGCGTGTGGCCGCGGGCGGTACCGCCTTGAGGCAGAGGGCTCGATGTGCTCTCGGCGTGCTCTCGGCGTGCTCTCGGCGTGCTCTCGGTGCGGCGCCTTGAGGTCGAGGGCTCCGTCGATGTAGCCGTGGGCGAGCGGCAGCTCGCGCGGCAGCAGCTGCAGGATGCGCTCCGAAGCGCGCTCCTCGAGGCCACGCCAGTGCGCTGCGCCTCCGAACGCCGTCGGGTCTGAGCCGCTGTAGACGACAGCCTGAGCGAGGGCGAGCGGCGCAAGGGCTGTCCGGGCGTGGTGCGGGAGAGGCGGCGGGTGCGTGTGCTGGCTTACCGCGGCGCCGGACATGAACTCGGAGGTGCGAGCCCGGAGGAGCGCGGCGAACTTTGGACCCCCCGAGCCGTGCAGCACGCTGTCCCAGATCGACTCGGAGGAGAGGAGCTTCTCCGTCATCGCCTGCGTGCGATGAGGGGTGTCACGCCGCTCCTGGGTGGCTCTGCCTCAGCACCGCAGGGCGCGCCTCCGCAAACTCCTCGGACACCTCGTGCTGCCGCTTCAGGAAGAGACCTAGGGAGAGGCGTCGCCGCAGTGCGTCCTCCCGCGCCACCCGCGCGGCCTCCCAACGCCGGGAGCCACCCACGCCGGGAGCCACCTTGCACGACCCTCGGCCCGAACTAGCCCTAACCCTAACCCTAGGAGCCACCTTGCACGACCCACGGCCCGAACCGCGTGGGCTCGACGGGCTCGAAGATGAGCTTGAGCGCGAGCCAGTTGGTCAGATAGCCGACCACCGCGCCGCCGACGGCGAGGGTCCACGCGCGCTCGTACAGGAGCCAGATCAGCATCTGCACGACGCCTGGTGGCGGCGGGTCGGGGGCGTGCGAGAGAGGCGGCGGCCCCGGGAGCTCGGCAGAGCGGCACGAAGCGTCCGCACGCTACCCTGTGGGAGGCTCACCGAGTGCGCAGCCAAACGAGAAGCCAGAGTTGACGAGGAACGCGAGCTCCGCCTGGAAGGGGGGAGGGGGGAGGGCTTGGGAGGGGGAGGCCGCCCCGCCGCGCCACGTGCGGCGGCCGCGCCTTGCCGCAGCGCTGGAAGAGGTCGATGAGCAGCTGCTTCTCGCGCACCATCCCGCCAACCTAATCACTCCCACACTTCATCATTCAATCGGTCATGCAGATCCTTCTCGCGCGCCGCCCGCCGACCACGATCTCGTCGAAGTCGACCAGCTGCCGCACGCTCGCCTGATCGCGCGCGGGTGGGGCTTACGCACCGCAGAGGGGCCGGCGCGCCCCGCGCATGCCTCGCCTGCATGTCGCGAGTGAGGCCCGCGACGAACCGGTGCCGGAGCGCAAGCAGCTCCGCCTGCCGAGATCACCCGAGATCACCCGAGGTCACCCGAGGTCACCCGAGGTCACCCGAGAGTACGCGGTGGCGTGGACGAGAGCTCCGCCTGCTGCGCCGGATCGAGGCCCCGCAGGACGGCCTTCCCCGCGCCGACGACGCCTTGCGCGGCGCCCGCGGGCGCTATGTCGGCCACGATGTCTTCGGCGATCCGGTCGACGCCTGGCACGGGACGGGTGGCACCTTTCGCACAGCGCCGAGCACAGCCGCGACTAGCTCTGTGCTGCAGCCGCACCGGGCCCGAGCAGCGAGGCGAGCTTCCCCGGGGAGAGGCGCCGGAAGACCACCTCGACGTCGACCAGCTTGTTGGTGACCAAGTCAGTGATGCGCGCCGCCATCTCGCCCGCCTTTGCTGGCACGATCCCCTGCCATCCGATCCAGCCCAGAGGCTGGTTCGGGTACGTGCGGAGCCGCAGCCCTCCAAACTCGACGGGGTAAAAGATCATGTCCACGGCAACCTTGTTGGTGAGCCAGCCGACGGCGCCCGCAAAGAGCGGAATCGTCAGGTACTGCCACCAGCGCGAGCAGAACCGGCGCGCCGCCGCGGACAAGGCGAGCGTCAGCGCAGCACGGCGCTTACCGTTCCGCCACAACCGGACCGCCGACCAAGCTGGCCAGCAGACGGCGAGCGTCTGGAGCAAGAGCAGGCCGAGCCGGCCGCCGCGACCCGCCACGGCTAGAGCCGCAAAGGCGCCGCCGACGACAGCCGACCGAACCAGCCCACGACCTGCTGCGCCGTTGGCGGCGGACAGGAGCGGCGGACCGCCCGCTCGCTGCCAACGGACCGCGAGCGGCTGGCCAGCCAGCAGCGGCGTTGCGGCGGTTTTGGTCACCAGCGTTCGTGGCGCGAATGATGGATGGCAGCGGGCACCGCTTGCGACGTGTGGCGTCGGCGATAAGGCGAGTGCAGCGGCGAGCACGCTCGCGCCGATCACCGACATATGTGTGGGCTGCGCGACCGGTTGCACGCGCGCGTCGAGAACCGACTCAAGAGCGAGCGCCAGAAAAGAATTTTATCACGGGGCACGCTGCCCGCACTCATCACGGACTCCATACCCGAAAGAAAGAGAGGGGAGCTCGCGGGAGAGGTGACGAGTGAACTACAGGTAGTGGGGAAGGCAGCCTCGATGGCCATACAGACATGGATGCGAAACAACGACAAGACCAAGGCACGGGCAGAGGAATTCGGGCAGAGGAACGAGAGAAGAACATAGGGTGGATAAAGCGCCTGTTCACGGCATGGAGGGTGAGCCACACCGAACGTACCAAGCGAAGAGCCGAGCGGAAGGAAGCCGGGGAAGACGACTCCGAGGAGGACGAACCAGTGGAAATCCAGTTGTCAGCCGTCACGATGCACCCGAAGGGGACCCCAGCGCCGGCATCATCCGTGGAGGCACAAGTGTTCGAAGAGAGAGTGGACCTGAGCAACGATATGACTGGGCGGCAAATGATAGCAGTGGGCGTCAGAAGACTCGTCCTTGCTCGAGGAGAGCTCGATAGACTCGAGGGGTCAGGATATGCAGCGAGGAGGGCGGAGCTGCGCCGAGCAGCGAGAGCAAGGAAGCGGCAGGCGGCGGCGCCGTCGCAGGACGAGGCAGAGGAGAGCGACGCGACAGAGGAAGAAGCGACAAGGGAGACCACGACGAGAAGGGGGCGACCGCGAGGTGGCACGAAGGTTGAAGCGAGAATCGGAGAAGGACTGCGAAGAGAGATAGGAAGAGGCGGACGCCCAAGGGTGGGCGACGGCTAGCGCACCACACCCCTCTCCTTAAAATCCCTGTGTGGTGGCGGCGTGCCGTCCTCCCAAGTCCCATCCCTCCCTTGGGTTGCCCGTTTTCTTTCTTTCTTTACTGGGCACGGGACTGGCTCGAGAAAAGAATTTTCAACGCCATGGCCTCGCACAACACTGGGCACGGGGCTGGCGCGCACTGGCACAAACCCTTGAGACAGCATGTCTCTGCTCGTCTTCCTGCTCCTCGCTCGGCCGGGCGGTGGCACGGGTGGTGCGGAGGCGTCGCCGCCGCGCTTGCGCGCGCGCGGGGCGGCGCCGGAGCCCACCTGCTGGCACCGCCACGGCGCGACGCCCGGGGCGGGACGCGGGGTCGAGAAGACTCAGGGCGAGGCTTCAATGCAGCTCCACAACGAGCATTCTGACGCCGAGAAGCTCTCTGGCGACGAGCAGCGGCGGAGAGGCCTGGGCGATCGGGCCGATTCGGCGGCGCGCGGCGCGCAGGCACCCCACCCGCCCACGGCCGCAGCGGCGTGGCTGGCGAGAACTGCCCTCGCCTTCTCGGCGAGAATGGCGAAACTCTCCTCGCACTCCTACTTCCAAAACAGCGACTCTCGCGCGAGGCGCGTGCGCGCGGCCGCGCGTGGCACGATTGGCCCCTCAGGCGCGCTCGATGCCCAGCCCCGCGGCGCGCGCGCGCCGTGCAAGCTGGACATCAAGCTACGACATGGGCGTGCTCTGCTCCCTTCGGCGTCGAATCTCACGCTTCTTGATCAATTTCGGCGTTCGGATTACGTCGAAAAAGAGAAGTCCCTCACTTTGTCGCAGGCCCACTAGGAGGCTGGGTTGTCGCAGAAGGTCCGTGCCCCACGATGGTTCAAGCCGTCGAGCCGAGTTGACTCTTGGGGCATGGGTGCACATGTACATGTAGCTGGCTGCGAAGGGGCGGAAAATCAAAGTGGCCGCCGTGAGTGAATGACGCCTCAGGGGCAGGCTGTGGCATGTGCTCTATAGCCTGAGAGGTCGTGTGGGGCGAGGCACACATGTACATGTCCTCGGAGTGTTCTGGCCAAAGTTCAACGTTTATCGACAAAACTTTCAGGAAGGGATTGTCGATGCAAACGGAAGGCTCGAACGTGCTCGAAGAGACCGACTGGACCCATTGTTCAGATCTTTCGGCTCGATTGGGGTTGTGCTCGCACACGCCAGGCGCCCAGGTGGTGGCTGACATATAGGGTGCAAGACTTGTCCATGGCAGCGTACACGTTGGAGCTGCCATGGTGGTCGACGCTGTCATGCCGCTGGTGGTGTCGGCCGCGGCGATGCAATAGTCGAGGCCATACTGGCCGGAGGATAAGCCATATTCGATAGCGGTCCCGCCGTAGCTCGCGCATAGAAGCAGGAAGCTAGGCAGAGGCCGCATCGCGTCCGCTGTATACAAGTTTGATCCAAAACAACCACACAAGTTTGGTTCTACTAATATCGCGCGCGGATAAAACGCTAATATCGCGCGCGGATAAAACGCGCGCGCCGCCATGGTGGCGGAATATAGTGTTAATGCCCGGGAAGCACCCGTTGAAGCCAGCCCCTTCAGCCGCCGTGTGGTATGCTGTGGAGCAGGTCACAGGAAGCCCCGGAGGGATATGAGTCGAAGGACGTATCGCGTGGCACGTCTTTTGGCAACCCAGTCGCGCTACCTTTCGGCACGCACAACAGAACGGCGTATGGGACGGCTGTGGAGGCCTTTGACGCGATCTGCAAGTACGTTACGGAGAACGCGACGGGGGGGGGCCGCTCAAGGAGTGTCTAGAATAGGTTACTATTCACGATTAGTGCTCTGAATAGTGAGGTTGCAAAACCAATCAGACCTGAATAGAGGCACTCACAAGCTATTCAACTCGTGACTACAATGACGAGCTCTGACCCTCCATTCATGAATCTATTCAAGATGCATGCGCTCTCCCGGCGCCCTTCGGCACTCCGCTCTCGATCACTACGGCTAGTTGCTGCCAGCCTGCACCACGTAGCCCTCTCCATCTTCATGGACAGGATCGAGCAGGCCAAGGTCATGCTCATGCAGCTTGTCCGCAGTGGCCTTGCCACCCTTGCTGAACTTGAGCAGGTACCGCTCGAGGATCTGCTCGGCCGTCGGCTTGTAGATCGAGTAGTTGACGCCAATGGACGTCCAGACCGCGAGGCGCGCCGGGTCCATCTTGCCATTGTCATCTGAGAGCGCACCTGAGCGCGAGAACAGCTGCTCGCTGTTGCCCTCGTGCGGGATGTGCGAAGCCGTCTGCTTGAATGCGATGTAGTGAAGCGGGAACGAGTTGCGCAGGTGATTACATGAGCGCAAACTCGTTGACGATGCCCGCATCGTCACGGTACTCGCGGATCACGTGCTTCTCCAGCGCCGCCCAGCGAGCCGCCTCATCCGTCACTGTGTCAAAGTCAGCGGCCTCTGCGGGCGTCGCTTCCTCATCGTCCGAAAGGTTGCGCACGAGTGAGCTGCAGCCCGCACCCGAGTTCGCCTTCTGCATCTTCCGCGGCGGCGATGAGCGAATGCCGATGCCAGCGATCTTTGCAGCGTCGCGCAGCATGTTGAGGTACAGGGCCTTAGCAAGTGTGCGCCACTGCTCTGGGATCCACTTCTCCGCCGGGTACTGCTTGCTCATCCACAGCTGCACACATCGAGTGTTCGAGGGCCGCTCGGCTTGCTCAAAGAAGCGCGTATCGAGCTCACGGATCATGATGTCGCTGCCGTAACGATGGACTCGTGCAGATCTTCCGCCTTGCGCGTCTCCACCGCACGGACGCGATGGGCCGAGCTTGGCCGTTGGCGGGCTGATTTTCACCGTCAACGCCTTGTCGTCTGAGCAGCCCTTCTTCAAGTCGTGCAGCAGGAAAAGAGCTATGGCGAACAGAGCCATGTGCTCGATCGAATCGTTGATCTGGAACGGGTGGTCGAGGTAGGCCTCGATCTCGAGCGACTGGTCCCATTGGTCGCCGCTCAGCCCAATGGCACTCGCCGCCACCGCCTAACGGGTGGACGGACCAAAAATAAGCTTGGAAAGCGGTTGGGGGTGCGAGCCCGTGCTATACTGCAGTGAATACTTACTTCCTGAAGTAACTTCATGATTCAGACAGACACCGACACGTGGCCTCACGCAAGTCTGAATGGCCTCACGCAAGTCTGAATAGTTCGAATGATCTGACTACTCTCCCTAATGAACTATTCAAGTCTTGAATCTTCTTGAATAGTGTGGGGGGTCTCCTATTCAGACCTGAATGGGAGAGCTGCGGGCCCAATCAGCTCATTCAGTTCTAATCAAGACACTCCTTGGCCTGGCGATGGACGCCACCGCGATTTCGTGGCACCACCCGAAATACTATGACTAGTGTACAGCCGTGAGTGTGAATGAAGAGTGTGGGCGGGAGGCCCACGGACAGGGCGGGCAGGCGCCTTCTCGATGCCGGAGGCTGCAGAGAAGAGGGAGTGCGACAGCGTCCCCGAGACGGCTGTCTTCTCGACGTCGATCTCCTCGAGGAGCGCGAGCAAGCCGAGCTGCGGCGGGAGGGTCCCTTTCAACCCCTTGATCGCCTTCCAGTTGATCTTCTTTTTATCTCCCTGTTCCATTGATAAACTCCTTCTCGCAACACGGAATATTGGCGTCGAGCCACGGACCGCCCCGCCGCGTTTTTCCAGCTTTGCCCGCCAGGATCTCCGAGGTCGCGCTCGCGCTCTCCTGGCTGTTGTGTCGTGTCCCCGTCGATTAGTTCACCGCGCATGGTGGCCGTCGATTAGCAGTAATTTCTGTTCGGCGCGCCGTGTGATATGGGCCAGGGCCCTAACAGCAGCACATGGCCCGCCTCCTCGCCAGTAAGAGTAGGTAGGTAGGTAGAAAGGTGAAGAACAGCCAGGCTCGGACTGGACACCAACGCGGTATGGGTGGACGCTGGACAGATGATGACGACACGCACGAGCGACACACAGACACAAACAAGCTCACAAGACACACAGCCAGCGGGCTGCCACACACCCTGAGTCGGCTTACACATAACTCAAGGCCATATCCTCCCTGTCGCCCCCCCCAGCACTCCACGGTGCCAAGAGTACAAACAAGGGCACAACGACACAACAGACGACAGGAAGTGACATGCGAGGCTAGAGCAGGCAGTAAGAAAACTTCACCGCAGGTGCCGCGTGCACGGCGCCCGATAAACGAACGAGACCACGAACGCTGCTTCGAGAGATGCGTGTTGTGATGCGGGACGTCGCCCTGCTCCTCGCGCTCCTGCGCGCGGCGCCGGCCGCCGGCGCGCATCCCAAGCGGAGGCGCACGCTGCTCGTGTCCCACTTTTACAACGAGGCGCTGCTGCTACCGTACTGGATCGCGCACCACGCGCCGATGTTCTCGAGTGCCATCCTCATCGACTACAACTCGACCGATGGCTCGGCCGAGCTCGTGCGCCAGCTCGCGCCGCGCACCTGGAAGGTCGTGCCGTCGTGGGACGGCGAGTTCGACGCGGAGAACCTCGACCGGCAGGTGAAGCAGTGGGAGATGACGCGGCCCGACGACTGGCGCATCGCGCTCACGACCACCGAGTTTCTCGTGATGCCGGGCTTCCACGAGCGTCTCGCCGCGCTCGACCCTGGCCCACGCGGCCACCGGGTGCTCCACTTCCACTCGCTCATCGCCGTGGGCGACGACACGATACCACTCAAGCCGCCAAGCGCCGAGCCCCTCGTGTGCCAGCGCGGCGTGTTCGTCGAGCCGCAGCGCGGGCTGCTCCTCGGCGGTCGTAGCGGCGGGGCCTTCTACGACCGCTTCATGCACGTGGGTCTGGGGAGCAACTACGTGTACACACTGGGCCGACATGGTATGAGTGGCTCGGTCACGAAGGCGGAGAATAACGCGTTCTACGACGGCGGCATCATCCTCAAGTACATGTGGTGCGCACAGCCGCCCCCCCCCCCGCCCCCCACCCTCGCCCTGCACCCTCCACGGGCACTCTCGGGCGCGTGCCCGGGGCGCCGTGCCTGCCAGCCCGCCCTCGCGCGCGCGCACGGACGACAGAGTGCACGTGTCCAGTAGTCCTGCGATTTGCACGCGCACACCTAGCGCGAGCCCCCTCCCCACTCCCGCCCCCACCCTCTAGCGCCCTCCTTGCCGCGTGGGCACACAGGACGCCATGGCCCGAGACGCGAAGCCGCAAGATGCAGATCGGCCACAAGGTCTCGAGCCGTGACCGCAAGATGGGAGCCGGGTTGCAACACAACCAGATGATCAACATATCCACCCGAGCCGCCGATGAGCGCCGCGCGGGCGCGCTCGACGGCGTCGCCAAATACGACGGCACGGGCAAGGCGCCCACGCCCGGCACTGGCGGCGGTGGCGAGCCGGCGGTGCCCGCGCTCGGCTTGCTGAAGCGGTTTTTTGGCGGTGGCGAGCCGGCGGTGCCCGCGCTCGCGCTCGGCTTGCTGAAGCGGTGGGCGTGTGGCAAGGGACTGCATGTGAACAGTGTCACGACGGCGGCGCCTTAGGGGACCCCTAGGGTTCTGAGGGCCGGATTTTTTTAAGACCTTTTAAGAAACGAGGAGGTTTGGGGGCTTAACTTGCCATTTAAGAGATTGCAGGCACGGGGGCGGGGGGGTCCCTCTTTTGGTCTTTACTCTAAGTCTTTTAACATTTACGGCTTTAAGACCGTTTAAGTATTAAGAAAATCGGCCTCGCCGGCATGCGTCGCTGGGTTCCGCGCCGTTTTCTCCAATTGTCCAATACTGCCGTTATTAGGCACAAACCCGCCTCTGAAGACACATCTGTAAGTCTGGTGCACTGGCAGGAGCCATACTCGCATAGGGGACGCGTGCTAGCTGACTGTAGCCAGCTTCCCGGCCTACGGCGTCTACCGGGAGCCTCCCGGACCATCGACCTCGGGAGCTCTCCCGCACCGTTTAAGCGTTTAAGATCGTTTAAGGATCGGCGGCCCAGGCAGCCTTAAAATGGGCCCGGGCCCGTTTTAAGCCGTTTAAGCCGCAGGCGCCCCAGGGCCCACCCTTTTAAGCCTAGGGGTCCCCTAAGCCCGCCGGCGCACCGCAGCTCGTCGGGCTGCGCTTCGGCACCGTCATCGGCGTCTCACCCGGGCAGCGCGTCGACCTGGGCCCGCCGGCCATGCTCAAGTCGGCGTACACGACGGGCGTCCTCAAGGTGGCTCACCCCGAGACGTCACGCGCCTTCCTGTGGCTGGAGGACCTGTGCCGCGGCATCTCGCGCACCATCGAGCTGCGGCGAGGCGGCGGCGCGAGCGTCGGAGCGCCGCCGGAGACGGCCCATCACAGCAAGCGTTCGGCGCCGTCGTCGTCTTCGATGGCGCCCGCCGAGCCACCGCCGTTTGCCATCTACCATCTGAGCTCGTTCAACTCGAATGTGGGCGCGCTCGCGGCCGCCATCGCCGCGCGCACCGGCGCGTGTATCGCCGCGTCCAACCACGGCACCGCGTCGAAGGACGTGCTCGGCTTCTCCCTCAACAACTCCCTCTTCGCGCGCACGTACAGCTTCACGGTCCGCGGCTCGCTCGCCACGGCCATCATACGAGAGAATGGTGACATGAAAAGGGGGGACTCCGAACGGCCGAGCATGCCCTCGCATGCCGGACAACTAGGTAGGTCACAGACCTCCCCCCTCCCCCTCCCGACGAACGTGATACGTGTGTCGTGGATGATAACGTGTTCATTCATAACGCTGCTTGTAACCACGAACGATGGCGAGGACGCAAGTCCACACCAAACTCGGCCATTCCAACGGCCAGGCCGCTCGCTTAAGGCTGATTGGCTAGACGAGCGGCCTACCTCCAATGGGGCAGTCCGGGAGAACGCGTGGAACCTGGGATGTGGTTTGGCGCCGACGGGGACCGCCCTCTCCACCACCCTCGCCCAGGGGTCTACAATGCTGTCTTAAGCGGGTTCGGCACCGGGCACCGCCTCGGTACGATACAAAATGCGCCCCTGTGCGGGCGGACCCTTACAGATCACAGATCACGGAAGTCTTTTGTCTTTTGAGGAGTACCCGAAGTCGCTCCAGATCCGACGTGGAAGTGCGCTGCTGAAGCGCGTGCAGTCGGTGTCTGAGGTGGAGAAACAATTGACCAGTGCAGATCGCTGGGCACGGGAACTATCGTATCTAAGAGACTGACGGGACTGGCGCGCCCCGTAACAAAAGAATTCGTGTGCGCAGCGAGGAGAGCCGCCTAACACTTTCTTCGACCTCCGTGTGTTTGTTTGTACGGCGTCCTTCGGCTCGCCCACCTCTCTTATGTGAGATCTCGGCTCTCTTTATTTCTCATTATGTGCGAGGACACTCAGACAGGCCTAGAGAGCCTCACCCAGGCCGCGCCCCGCGCGCCGCATAGCGCGACCCCGGTTGCAACACCAGGATCGCTCGGCCCGTGTGCTAGCCCCGGCGTCCAGTGGAGTTGACGCGGTGGCCGAGGCTGGCATGTTGCGGTTGCCATTCGCGGTTCAGGTGGCTGCTGCAGGCGTGGGTTGGTTGTATCTCAAGGTTTGTGTGCGTTGCGACCAGGTTGCGAGTCCCCTGGCCTTGCCGACGCTGGTAATGCCTGGCATTGGTGCCTCGCATCGGCCGTGGGCGTTGCCACACTGCTCAGGCTTGCGGTTGAGCGAGCGCCAGCTCCTGAATGAAGAGCTTCTTCGCGGGCGCCGTGAACTTGAAGTCTCGAAGAATGACAAAGGCCGTCCCAAACTCGGCAGCCGTCACGCCCTGGCCGTCAACCAGGGTAGCCAGGATGGCTTTCGTGTCTGCCTTGCTGATCACACCGTCGCCCTTACCCTTGACCGCCTCGCGTGCCGCGTCGAGCGCCTTCCTGTCGCGCTTATGCCCATCCACCACCTCGTAGTAGCTCGCCGCCCGCACCGGCCCGAGCACGGCGGGCTGCCGCAGAGCTGCGCACGCAGGCTGCACGGCAGCGAGGAATGGCGTGCGGGCGGGGCCGCGGCGGATCATCCCCAGCTGTGGGTGGATCGGTGGGGGGGGGGGGGGATTTGTATGGGCTGAGTCTGCGCCGGCGCAACTTTAGTCTTCACGCCGGACGGCTTCGTCCTCTTCGGTGAAATTCTGACAAAAGATGGAGGAATTCTAGCCGACATCGACAAAAGGCACTCTCTAGCCCCGCGGCGAGCGGCCCCGCCGGAGGCGACGAACATCTTGCCGTATTAACGCTCTCTCAGAGATGAGAGAGAGAGGTGGCACCCGGGTCTTTCTTTTGATTCATTCAGGCGCCGCCCGTTCGACTCTTGCTGTCGCCCTCGCCGAGTGTTTGTCGAGCTTCCGCATGAAGGATTAACGCGCCTCCTCCTTGTTTCCAGCGCAGCTGCCGCAGTGCCGCTCAGTGGCGGCTCACTGTCTTCTTGAGCACTTGAGCACTGGATAGGGTCGATTCCGCATGGTACGGGACCCCTCGATCGTCTCGCCCTCCCTCACTGGTTTTAGGTACTGGTGGCGTCCCATCGTCCCAATCTCTCCATTTCTCCGTTTCTCCTCCTTGCCTCGCGCGCCTCTTTTGCGGCTTCATCTCTCTCTGCCTTGCACGCTCATCCCAAAACGCACTCCTCTTGGCGGGGGCCCGCACGCAGGCGAATTCTTTGATGCTCCACGCCGGGAGCAGACACACGCGCGCGCGCCGCCTCCCGACGCCTCGCGGATATGCCACCCAAGGAGACGTTTCGGTGCCCGGCACTGCTGGTGCTCACGACGGCCGCGCTGCTGCTGCTGCTGCTGCTGCGGGCGGCGCAGCCAGCGCGAGCACCGGTGCGGACCGCTGCCACGCAGCAGCCGGGCGCGACTGCCGTCAGGGAGTGGGCGAGCCTCGCGTCCAGCGCAGCGGCGGTCGTTCCCGGCGGCCGCGGGCTCTTGCAGCGGCCGGTCCGCGCCACGGGCGACGAGCGCGGCGGCTACACCTTCTTCTCGACCGACTACCACATCGCGCCGATAGCCGACCTCGCCGACGTTTTTGCGTCGCTGTGCGACGAGGCGGGCCTTTGCATGCGAGTCGAGGAGCACTCCTTCTCGGGCGCGTGCGGCCGCGCGTTTGGCGGCCGCAAGCCCACCTGCGCCCGCGGGCTGCGCGTCCTGACCAAGGAGAACGCCTTTGACTTTTGCCCGCGGCCGCATGCGCTGCGTCGCGCCTTCTTCGACGCGTACCGCGGTCCCGACTCGCCGCTCGCCGCGGTGGACGCCTTCGTCTGCAACCACCCGCCGGCGCTCTGCGAGGCGTACATGCCCTTCAACAAGTCACTCCTCGTCGTCGCCACCGTCAACCTCGAGTTTTCGCGCGAAAACGAGGAGCGGTGGGCCGAGTGGCTACGCTCCCTCCGCGCGATCGCCGCCAACCGGCGCAACGTGATCGCCGCCAACAACCCGTACGACGCCGCCTATATCCGCCACTTTGCCGGCATCGAGGCCGAGTACATCCCCTCCTACTGCGGCTACGCGGCTCGCTCGGCCGGCCCATACTCGCCGCAGCTGCACAAGCCGCTCCTCATCGCGCGAAACCACAACAACCCGGCCGTCCTCATCCGGGAGCTGCAGGCCGCGGCCCGCCGCGAGGGCGGCGGCGCGCCGCGGGGCGGCCGCGGCCGCCGACGCGGTCGCGGCAGGGGCGCACGCCGCGAGGCGGCGGGCGGCGGGCGGCGCGCCGAGGCGACGGGCGGCGGCGCGGGCGGCGGCGCGGGCGGCGGGGCGGGCGGCGGGGCGGGCGAGCTGGGTCGGCGGGGCGGGCCCCCTCTCCTTTGCGCGCACCGAGGACGCCTACCCGCGCGGCTTCGAGCACTCTCTCTCTCTTCGCCCGCACGGCCGCAGACGTGCGGAGGCGTCTCACGCCGGCCCGGCTGGTTGCACAGGTACTCTGACCTGGCGAGGCACCCCGCGGTGGTCCTGCTGCCGTACACAAAGTCCGTCATGTCCTTCTTCGAGCTCTACCGCATGAACGTGCCGATGTTTGCCCCCTCGCTCGAGCTGCTCGTCCAGTGGGAGCGGCGGCACTCCCTCCTCAAGGAGCGCATCTACTGGACGGCCGCGCCGCGGCCCCTCCGCCTCGCGAACGGCACCTCGCTCTCGCCAAACACGCGCGACGACCCCGCCGCCCTGCGCCACTGGCTCGCCCTCTGCGACTTTTACCACTTCCCGCACATCACCTACTTCGACTCGTGGCCAGACCTGCTCGCAAAGCTGCGCAGCGCGGACCTCGCGGCGACCTCGGCCGCGATGCGCGCCGCCAACCGCCGCCTGCTCGACGAGCTGCGCCAGCAGTGGCGCCGCCTCTTCCTGCGCATGTTTCGCGGCGCGCCGCCCGGCAGCCGAGCGGTGCCGTCCGACTACGACGCGGCGATGCGCGCGCTGTACGGGCAGGTGCCGCCCTCGCGCGAGCCGAGCTGCCGGCGCGAGAGCCGGCCAGAGTACGGCGAGTGGGGCTGACAGGGCGGCGGGGGCGGCGGTGCTTTGGGCTGGCTCCGCGTAGCGCACGCCGCCAGCCCCGAGCAACTACGACTGAGCGCAGGCATGGGAGTGGAGAGTTCTCGTGCTCGATTCTCGTGCAATCCGTTTCTGGTTTCGATCGCTCCGCCTGTTCGTGGTGTGCTGTGTGTCCATGGCTGTGTCGAGGGGGACATACTGTCATCACTCTCTATTTACGGTCTCTGTACTCTCAGACCAGGCCCTGACCCTAGCCCACGGACAGTTGAGAACGCGGAGACTCCAGCGCTGACAGCGGACACGACCGACAGATCACAGTCGTCAGCTGAGAGCTGTCAGCTGTCCGTGTCGCTCCCGTGTGTCCCCCGAGATGCGAGAAGTCCCGTGCGGAGAGAGCGGAGTCCGAGCGTGGACCGTGTTTTTGTTCAGACTTCACAGAGACCTTTCGACAAAAAAATCCAATGATATATGAGAGAGATTTTTGAAAACCAAGAAGAAATCACGACGGGTCTTTCACCAGACACCACATGAGCATGTGTGCTGTGAGAGAGTTGCCGGAAAATCGTCTTGCGCAGGTCTTGCGGCTGCAGGAGCTTTGCGCAGATTTTGACCGCGCAAGATATGTATGTATTTTAGGGGATGCGAATGTTGGACGGAGGGTGGACGCGTCCAGGGGGGGGGGGGGGTCAGGGGGGGACGGCTGGTATTTCAGAGAAAACGGCGGTTTTGGATTTTGCATCTCGGCTGCATCAATGGCGTGAGATGGGCGGCCTGGATGGGCGGCCCCTCGAATCACGGTCACGTCGGCGAGGCCACAGCGACGGCGTCGTTGGTGGAGCGCAGGGGCGAGGGCGTCGACCGACGGGCGGCGCACCAGGAGGTCACGGACCGACGGGTCGAGCCCCTCCGCCAATCGAGGCGGCGGTCGAGACGGTGCGGCTGACGGCCTCGCGGGTGGCGGAGTACGGCCAACACTACGTGCTGCGGCAGCCCGCGGAGCGTAAAGGGTGGCTAAGGGTTCTGCCCGCAAGGCGCCCGCGTCGCAAACGCGGTACCATTGACAAATCTGCAATATACCCCCACACGAACAAATAGCAAAATCCGAATTGCGTGATGTCGGCCGGGCAAGCCTTCAGCTCATCAGCTGGTGCCAAGACATCCGTAAAATTGAAGCCAAGAACGTCCGCCAAATCCGATCCGCTCTCGGTCGGCAACGTGGCAGCTAGTCGAGGGACTCGGTAGTTGTGACCCCCCTGAGTGATCTGTGATCTGTAAGGGTCCGCCCGCGCAGGCGCATTTTGTACCGAGGCTGTGCCCGGTGTCGAACCTGTCGGACTTTAAGACAGCGTTGTAGATCCCTGGGCGAGGGTGGTGGAGCGTGAGTGAGGACAGGAGAGAGAGAGCTTTTGTGGTGTTGGTGTACGCAATAACGCTTAAGAAAACGGGACGGGGTGGTTGTTCTCTCTATCTCCTCTTCTAGCTCTTAGCATGAGCTGCGCCCTGTGTCCGACCCCTTTTGCGCAGCAACACCTTAAACTTTTAGGCCCTCCAAATTCGGGCGAGGGTCGGAGCGTAGCGGAGTGGGCCCCGAGTTTGAAAAGGGCGACGGACGCTTGCGTCCTAGCCTCCAACAACGCCTCCCCGGCGCAGAGCCAGAGGGGCCCCGGAGGGATGCTCAACCGCTCCACGCCACGCACGCCGCTTGCGGCGGTCCTATTCCCAGCTCCGCTGAGGCGCGTTATTTTTCAGAGTATACAGACCTTCACAGTGTGACACATTTCTTGTTGGCTTCTAAAAATCTCTCTCACAGTATTACACAGACCTTTCGACAAGAAGAAAATGCAGTGTCAGAGAGATTTTTGAAAACCAAGAATAAATCACGAGTCTTCTTTCACATGAGCATGTGTGCTGTGAAAGAGCGCCGGAAAATTCTCGCTTGCCACGAGGGGGATTTTTTTCCGCGTTGCGAGAGCGGCGCTGGCCAAGACCCTTCACCGCATGTCGGACTCAGAGTCTGACGCGGACTACGACCCGGCGCGCAAGCGTGACGACGACGACGACGACGACGACGACGACCAGCCCGTCGCCAAGAAGCGTCGCCCCGCCGGCGCAAACCAGTTCATCGAGGAGGAGGCCGAGGCGTCCGAGGAGGAGGACGAGGAGGAGGACGAGGAGGAGGAGGAGGGCGACGGCGGCGCCGACGGCGACGACGGCGACGCCGTCGACGCCAAGGCGGTCGAGCGCGAGAACCGGAGGCTCGACGCGGAGCGGCGGAAGGCGGAGGAGGCCAAGCTCGAGGCGCAGGTGCGCGAGCGGTACGAGAACCGGCCCGACCAGGGCGCGTGGGACGACGACGAGGACTTTGGAGAGGACACGCGCTTCCAGGAGCTCCCCGACGCCACGCGCGACCCGAAGCTGTGGCTGCTCAAGTGCAAGCCGGGCGGCGAGAAGATGCTCATCATCTCGCTGATGCAAAAGTACCTCGACGCGGCGGAGGCGGGGACGCCGCTCTCCATCAAGTCGGCGCTCTGCACCGAGATCAAGGGCTACATCTACGTCGAGGCCTTCAAGGAGGCGCACGTGCGCGAGGCGACGCAGGGCCTCAACGGCCTCTTTTACCGCATCACGCAGGCGCCGCGCGCCCCGCCGCCGAAGCGCATTCGGCGCGCGCGGCCGCCGACCCGCCCCCCTCCCGCCCCCGCAGGTCCCGCCGCGCGAGATGACCGACGTGATGCGCATCCGCTCCACCGACAAGAAGGCGCTGCACCCCGGCGCGTGGGTACGGATGCGGCGCAACGACGACTACAAGGACGACCTTGGGCAGGTCGTCGACATCGACGTGGACGGCGCGCGGGCGCGGGTGCGGCTGGTGCCGCGGCTGGCGGCGTACCTTGGCGAGGAGGACGGCACGAAGCGGCGCGTGCGGCCGACGCCGAAGCTCTTCGACGCCGACGAGCTCCGCGCCAAGGGCGAGGACGTCGGGACGGGCGTGAGGAGCTCTCGCGGCCGGCAGGTATACTACTACGACAACCAAGAGTTTGAGGAGGGCTTCCTGCTGCGCCACCTCTCCGTCAAGGGGCTCAAGTACGGGGACGGAGTCCAGCCGACGATGGCGGAGCTCGAGCGCTTCAAGACCGGCCTCGGCGCCGATGCCGACGCCGAGCTGCTCGCTGCCGCCTCTGGCGCGGGCAGCGGCGCGCTCTTTCGCGTGGGTGACTATGTGCAGGCGGCGGTTGGGGGGGGGGGGAGGTTGCGAGATCGCCCGGGGGTGGCGACGGCGAGGCGCCCGGTCCCTCTCCGACGCCGTGTGAGCCTGCCCCCTCTCCTCCTCCCGCCTCCCTCCTCAGGTGGTCGAGGGAGACATGAAGCATCTCACCGGCTCGGTCAGGGCGTTGAGCGCCGACGGCAAGACGGTGCACATGTTCCCAGACCACGAGAAGCTGCGCGCGAGCAACAAGGACGTCCAGATCGCGGCCGAGCTGCTCGCAAAGTTCTTCAAGATGGGAGACCACGTCAAGGCGCCGCCCGCCGCCCGCCCGCCCGCCCGCCCGCCCGCCCGCCCCGCCCCGCCGCCCGCCCCGCCCCGCCCCGCCGCAGACGCCCCGCCCCCCCTAGGTGATCGGCGGCAGCCACCACCTCGGCGAGACCGGCATGGTGGTGCGCGTCGGCAACGGCAAGGACGGCGGCACCGCGCACTCGACGCAGCTGCACATCCTGACCGACCTCGGCCAGACGGAGATCGCGGTGCGGGCGGCGCACGTGCAAGAGTGCGCCGAGGTCTCTGCCGGCCTCGAGACGCTCGGCCAGTACTCGCTCTACGACCTCGTCGACGTCGCCTCCATCGGGCCCGCCGTCGTCGGCGTCGTCGTCAAGGTGGAGCACTCCGCCTTCAAGGCGCGCGCTTTCCCC